CCATCCTGGGATGCTGGGAGCGCGCGGCCGGCCCGGGCGTGCCGGGGAGCCGCCGGCTGCCGGGGAAGCAGCGCCCGTGGATCCGCGGGGCAGAGCGTCTACTTGGTTTAGCCGGTAACCCAGTTAGGGAAGCAACATGTGCACTGGGATTTGGTAGTTGGCTGTGTCAGCAGCCTGGCTCCTGCGGATGAAGTGCATTTGTGGGATATTTGTGCTGTTTCATGGGTTTCGTGGCCGCTCCTGTGAGTTCGTTCCACTGGAGGGCTCCAGAGAACTGAAATTCACACAGCAGCATTTGTAAGATACCTGGACCAGTAGCTTGGCAAACGCAGGATGTTTTTAAATGGATCCTCAGATGATGGGTTTGAAAGCCTTTTGCCTTCAGCACCTATCCCTGCAGGTTCCCCGTACTTCATTAGGCAATCCCACAAAGTTGTTGAAGTGAATTTTAATGGGACGTGCTAGGCTTTACAGTTAAGGTTGGAGACGCGAAAGTGGTCTGAGGGCTGGAACTACTCTGATGTGAAGACAGGCAAAGAGAGCTGCGATTGTTCAGCCTGCAAAAGAGAAGGCTCCAGGGAGACCTTATTGCGGTATGTAGTGGTATTAGGTGTTTTCAGTACCTAAATGGTATGAGAGGTACTTTATTACATGAAAAAAATGATGAAAGACTTGTTACCAGAGCTCTGGATGAGGGACAACGGTTTTAAACTGAAATACAGATTTAGGCTGAACATAAAGAGGAATTTTTTTATGATAAGGGTGCAGAAATAGTGGAACAGGTTTCCCATATAAGTTGTTGCACGATTGGAGCTGTCCAAGATCAGTTTGGACAGAACTTTCAGCAACATCATTTCATGCAAGATGTTGAACTAGATGGTTTTCCAAGGTTCCTTCCAACTCAAACCATTGGATAATTCTGTGATCTTCTACCCCAGACAAAATTAATGAAGTTTCTGTAACAAGTGATTATGCAGAGTATTCAGTCACCCTGGTTGTTCATTTCTTCTTTTATAGTTACACTTGTAAATGTTTCCAAGCAAATAATCTATTGGAAAATGTGGGGTATAGGAAACAAGGGTTGCCCTAAAGGCTTTGTTTTAATGCAGAGGCAGCCACCTTTTAGAGAGGGGGAATGGTGGTCTTCAAAGCATAAAGCATGTCTACCAGCAGACAGTATTCTAACATCATTTTCCAAAGACAGGATTACAAATACCGATGCAGTCCAGCTGAACACATGTACTGTTGGTAGGAGTAAGAAACCTCTTTTTGGAGTCCAGCTGCACTAAAGATGGTTCCTATGGAGGTGACAGATGCTCCAGCTCCCCTGACTGTAGAATGGAGGGGAACTGAAAGTCTCAGCTGTGTCCGGGGACAAGTTGCTAGGATTGCTGACAGACAAGCTTCTGGTTTTTAATTTGTTTGGTGCAGCAGCAAACCTTGTGTCATCTCTGCTGTTATGCCATGACAAGACTTCCTGTACTGTCTTTGCTCCGTATGACATACAAACTCCTGCTCTGATAAGAATGCTTTCTATACTTTGGGCTCAGAGGTGTTGTAAAGCTTAAAAGTCCACAATTTAACACAGTTCCACAATTTGTTAGTGGTTAACTCACCTTATAAACTGTAGTGGTAGAGGGCAGTCATAACCATGTTTGATTTTTAGTTAGGTGCAGGATTATGCAAATATACAATGGGAGCAGGAGTGTCTGGTCTCACTTCTTTTCATGACTGAGGTATGTTCTTATTCTGCTTTTGGTGACAAATAATATTTTGGCTAGGTGCTCTCAAAGTGTTCTTACTTTCATCACTAGCTGATCCCTTATTAAGTGATAACTGTGTTTATCATTAATTGTAATATCTGCTCATGATTACTGAGGAGTTAGTGGTACTATTTATTTTTGTGCAGAGCATGTTCATTGCAGAGGAGGTTGTAGATGGACCATTCACTTGAGAAAAGAAATAATGCTGTGTTACAGGGCTAATTGAAAATCCTGCATCAGGACTTTCAGTGGAATGGTACATGGAAAAAAATAAATTCTTCCCCGCCCCAAACCCAGTAGAGTTTTGACTTAAACTGCCCAAGTTACGATAATGTTTCTGTGGTAGTAAATGTTCTAGCAGTGATTTTGGTACTTTATAATAATCAAATCACACGTTTGTCTTCATGTCTTAGAAATACAAAAAATAAGTAAATGGTACCTGGATGCCAATATCTAGTCCTTTTGTTCTTTTTTTAAGAGTTGTGTTCAGGTCAGTGGATATGTGGATTTACATTTGAAATTACAGACCTTGGAGGATGACTCCCTGAAGAAGATTTCACAGTTTTTTTTCTTTTAGTTGGTATTTTGTTTTGTTTTGTTTTTTAAACTTTTTTCATGCCGCTTCATTTTGTTAGCGTTGTAAATATTAGTCAGATGTACTGATATGTGAACCAGGTTCTGGAAAACTTCATGGATACTGAGCAAGATACTGGATACTTTCATCAGTTCTTTTTCTGGTTCTGTTTTTGAATCTTGGTTACACATTTGAAAAGCCTCTATTCTTCAGTCTGAGAAGGAACAGTTCTGATGTTAAAAAATGCAGTGGAGCAACTTTTAGTGATGCACAACTGTAAGTGAGCTGGAAGATTTCACATGTTTTTTGACTTGATACCATGCTAAACAGATGCCAACAGGCAAATAGGTACAGCTTCTGGCCCTCATGAGGAGAAATGATGCATAGTATCTGGTCATTAAATACCAGGAACAAGTTAGGGTGGTGCCCTACATGATGTATTAAAGTCTTTGGCCAAGTGAAAGTGTAATGAGTGAAACAGCAGGGAAGACAGTTACTTTAACTTTTTGATTTATTGTAGCCTTAAATCACGCCATAAATATTTGATATTATGATCAACAGCTGAGTATAATATAGTAGTAAAAATGAATTCTACCAAGTAAAATTGAAGCTGGTATTTTTTTGTCTGAGTGACAGTATACCTTCATTCTGTCTCAGAGTGAATGTGTCTGTGGCCACTCTGTAGTATCTTGCAGGGCTCGTTCCTATGTGGGTGTATAGGATACGGCACTTTTCCAGACTCCCACATCTCTTTAACTGCAGAAGTGTTCTGACTTACCTGGGTCTCCTATGCTAAGACCACCAGCCAATGATAATTCTTGTCATACCCTTTCTGCATTAAATTTTTCATCTTGGTAGGGGTCTCCTTTGGGTATGCAAAACTATTTTTCATTTGCAATTCTCTTCAGTTGCACCTCTTATGTACAAATTCTTACAGAAAAGTATTTTTTGTTCCAGTGACACAGTCATGGAAGAAGTGCTCAGTTTACATTTCCTTCCAGTCTGGAGTGCTTTGAAATAGATGTCTTTGGAGTTTGTACAATATGTGTCCATTACTGACTTTGGATTCCAGCTTGGTTGGATATTGATAATACCATGGATGAGCTGCTCTTTCTAATTCCTTGGGAGAACTATGTGAGCCGTGTGTTGTATCCCTAGAGTATTTATCCACTATTCCTTCCAACCTCATTAGTGATGTCTTTGCTACCATAGCCCTGTTGAAGCAATAGCATAGTGGGAGGAAGGGGAGGAGGGAAATGGCTCTCCAGCAACACTTGTTCAGCTTGAACTCTTGGAGGTATTGGCCTTGTTCCTGTCTTTCTTCTAACTGCTTTGATCCTGGTCTGCTGAATGTAGGAGTAGATTTGTCTTGCTTGCAACTGAACAGTTGCACAAAGTTCATGATGGAAACTCATCATAAGCTTTCAGTCACTGTGCTAAAACTTCACCGAGTCAATACCAGCTGTCTTGAACGAAAAGTAAAACCCTTACATTAGAATGAGGCATCCACATGAAATATCAAGAAATCAGGCTATTGATTTCAAAGAGCTCTGAAACATCTCCATTTTCCTTTAGGTTCACCTTCAGAGCCTCAATCTATATGAGATAAAGCAACCCTTCCCACAGAGTATGAGATGCTTTTGAGATCCTTCTCAAGATGTGATGTAAATGATTTCTGTAGCCCAGGTTCTACAGAGAGCCTCAGAGACTAATCTGTCTTTTTTGCTTGTACTGTCTTAAACTTGTACCAAAAGATTACCTATCTAATGACACTGACTGTTTAATAGTAATTTGTTTCAAAACCAGTAATTGCAGTTTGTTACAAACAAGGACTCCTACCTCTTGGGGTCTTTCCCTTCAACTGTGTAGACCTAAATATAGTCAAAAATCGTGGCTGCACTGTCAGGTTATCTTGGAGGATGTGGAACATCTGTCTAGCTTTTTTTTGGTTGTTGATGATGATATTTCTTTGCTATGATGGATATTTATTTGCTGAATGCAATGACTGTTTGGAATGCCTGCAAGACAAGATCTTTAGTCACCAGAAAAGCTCCTGCAGCTGTGTGTTAAGTGTTCAGTTTGCAGGTAAAACTTGTCAGGCCATCTTGTGTCATATATTGACCTGCTCTTCAGGAATGATGAGTAGCAGGATCAGAAAGGTGATGCAACATCATCCCCTCAGCATCAGAAGGCTCTTGATTATTGGCTGTGGGCTCCAGAATTGTTAGTCTGTCTACAGGGTTGAATAAATGACACCAACAGATTGTGCCCTGAAGATCGGGTTCAATGATACTGATGTCTGATGCAGGAGTTCCTAACCTTGATCTCTTCTGCTCATCACACAGCAGGAGGTGAGTGCCACTCTCCTTCTAGTCTAGGCTTGGCTCTTAGGCTGTCTCCTGATTTCTTGGAGCTGGGATAATCTAGCTTCTAACAAATACTTGATTTCATATTCTGAAGATTACTTTTTTCTCATTTCTAAGAAATATCACTTTCATGAATTTCCTGGCAAGCCATTCAGAATCTCTGTACCTGGTGCAGAAGCTGTTGAGCTGTGAGGTGTTCTGCATAGTCAGGGTGGTGTGTAACATTCATATTGGGAAGAAGTAGATTGTCAGAGTGATGGGAGTTACTTAGAAGGAGCAAGAAAGTGTGTGCAAGATGCACTCATCAGGACAGCTTGGTATGGTTAGTTATCTTCCTGATGTTTTTCTGGAGCTGAGCTAACTTCCTAGGTCCCTGTGCTTCTTGTGTTGGGCTAGCTGCATGAGTTGGAGCAATTCAGTTTATCCATTAGCTGTATTAAATTTTGTTTGGGAACAGATCTTGCTTATCTTTCCATGGGAGATTTCTTGATATTTTTCAGTTCTGCTGCAGCAAATGTCATAAAGCATTTAAGGAAGATAGTATCCCCAGGATGACAAGCAAGCTTTTTCTTTTGATGTTCCCAGGACTGAGCCTTGCTCCCTAAGACTGCTCTTCTCCTGTGTTGAGAGGTCAGAGCACAGTTAGCTCTGCACAAGTGCTGTTGAACTGGTAATGAGTTTTCTGAGTTTACAGTATGAAACTACTGAGGTAGGGCTGTCCAAGGAACCTGAGTGAGCCTGTTAGTGCTCAGGCTTTGTTGGTAGCCTTGTCTAAAAGATGGCCCCATCTTTGACATCAAGGGCCTTCACTAAGCACTATGCCATTGGTGAATTCTCAGGAAACCATGCTCTCCTGGACAGGGTATATTCCTGTTGGTGTGGAAATAGGT